CCTCTCCGTAAAAAATCAATAAAATATATATATATATTTTTTAAAAAAGGACTGGCATTGTAGTTTTAGGGGCAGCCATGATGTAACTTAATTTCACTGTTTAGATTTGGTAGAGGCAAGAATTGGAGACTGCTTGCCTTTGATCTCTGGGAAAGAAGACTATTCACAAAGGCATGGAAAGGTCAGATTGAAAGACATGGCCAACCCTGGTTGGTGTGGCTCAGTTGGTTGAGCATCATCCCAAGCACTGAGAGGTCACTGCTTTGATTCCCAGTCAAGGCACATGCCGGGGTTGTGGGCTCCATCCTCAGTAGGGGGAATGCGGGAGGTAGCAGATTGATGTTACTCTCTCTCATCGATCTTTCTCTCTCTTTCTTCCTCTCCCTTCTTCTCTCTCTAAAACATCAATAATATATATATTATTGATATATATATTTAAAAATAAAAGATGATTCTTTAAAAAAAAGGAAAGACAGCTGAATACCTAGGGGGTAAAGATCAGAAATTGACCTCAGGCAGGGCACCTACCTTCTCTAAACCTCAGTTTTATCTGTGAAATAGGAATAATAGAAAACCAGTCCCACTGCGGATGGCAAAAAAGTACATGAAATAATTCACTCGAACATCAGTCTCACACATCATAAACCCTCAGCAAATGTTACATATGATTTGTTTAAACTTAACAATTATTTTCATATTTTACTCGTTTCAAAAAATTACAAATGAAATTTGTCATTTTTGCACAGCATTTTAATTTTACAAAAGTTCTTGAGGTTCAAAAGTAAGAATCAAATTCTCCACACCATCTCTCCCTTCCTTCCCTATCTCTGTTCTCCCAACAAAACATACTCACTGGGTTCTAAACTTGCTGTCAGCTCATGTGGATCTGGGCAAGGTTGCCTCAGACTTTTAATCTGTACAATGGGAATAATACTAAAAAATTTCAGAGATGTATTAAGGCCTTGGAATGGAGCCTGGCCCAGAGCCAACTTTCAATAAACATTTGTTATCATCTTGCAAGTGAAAAATATATATAATGTTTAAGCTTGATTCTCTTCTAAAATTATATACAGTAGTTGATGGACCATCACCCTACCCTAAGAATTGATAAAATGCATAACATTAGGAACAGCTTCAAGAGTGTGATACATTCTATCACTGGAAGTCTTTTGGGTTGTAATCTATTGCGAACTTTCAGACAGTCCAGAAGTCCTTTTTGCAAACTCCATGATGTGTAGTCATTCTCTCTGAGAATATCCAGAAAAGAGCTTACCACCTCTCCAGATAGCCCAACGTGTTACTGGAAACTTTGAGATTAAACAGGGTTTTTTTTGTTGTTGTTGCATAAATAGCTACCACTTACTAGATTCTATTGATAACTTCCATTTAGTCGGGATTCTCCTTGCTGGGATAACAAACACTACAAAACAAAATCACCCCATTGATTATGTTCTGAACTTGGATTATTAATTAGTATGGCAGGATTTCTCTCAACAAATCCCTTCTTTCTGCTCTAGTACATTGTCTGCAAAAACATACAATTTTTTACCCATGTGTCATAAGTGAATTATTTTCTAGTTTTCACATTCTCAGCATATTCAGTCAAGAATTTCTGAGACTAAGCCCTAGCTGGTTTGGCTCAGTGGATAGAGTGTCAGCCTGTGGACCCCGGTTTCGATTCTGGTCAAGGGCGCGTACCTCAGTTGCAAGCTGTTTCCCAGCCTGGCCCCTGGTCAGGCATGTGCAGGAGGCAACCAATTGATGTATTTCTCTCAAATCAATATTTCTCTCTGTCTTTCCCTCTCTCTTCCACTCTCTCTAAAAATCAATGGAAAAATATCCTCAGGTGAGGATAAAAAATAAAAAAAAGAAAGAAAAAGACTTTCTGAGACTAAAACTAACTCTAGGAAACTAAGAAATCTGTCATATTTAAGAAATAAAGACAACTTTCTATATACTTTTTAATAAGATCATCAGATTGGAGTTAAATGCCTTTTTCTCATTTTTCCCCCTAAAATTCAGAGTAAAGGTAATAAAAGCATAATAGAATATTTTTAGGACTCACCTTCAAGGAAAAAGGCTGGATGAATGAATAATGACTTCAAAGACCTGAAAGTGACATTTAAGTAGATTTGATGTGAAGTTTGATCATTTCTTGCCAAAAAAGAAAAAAAAGAAGAAAAAGAAAAAATAGACACATTTTTACAAATGTGTGGCTGGAAAAACTACAAATGAATCACATAGTAAAAATTCAGATTTTAGAGATAAAAAATGTACTATTTCCACAACAATAATTGATGCCAAGAGAATTTCTAATCACCAGGTTGAATAAGAATATGGTGAAAAAGTTTTCTTTTTATTATTTGTCTATTTTATAATATAATGAAATTTTAATTTAATAGTTCCATACACCACTTGTCTTGGTTCATGTCCTCTCTCATCTCTATGTCTAAGTTTCCTCATCTGTGAAACAGTTCTAAGAATTGAGTTACATGATGTATGACATTCTTAAAATAGGCCTGGCACAAGATGAGCTCTCAGTAAACATTTTTAAAAATTTTATCTTTATTGTTGAAAGTATTTGTGTGTTTTCCTATTGACCCCCTGTACCCTGCACCCACTCCTCCCAGGCCTTCACCACACTATTGTCTATGTCCATGGGCTATGCATATCCTATCTAATAAAAGAGAAACATGGTAATTAGCGTACGACGGCTACCCTTCCCATTGGCTAATCAGGGCGATATGCAAATTAACTGCCAGCAAAGATGGCGGCCGGCAGCCAGGCAGCTGGAAACGAACATGAGGCTTGCTTGCTTCAGTGAAGGAGGACTCCAACGTTCCCCGCCTGCCTTGCCGGCCTCTGAGCTGGCAGTTTGAAACATTGTAACAAATATAGAAGCTAAACAAAACCCCAGAAACCAGCTTTCAGCAGGCCGGGATCTCAGAGCTGGAGATGATACAGTGTTTTGATTATAGAACCCAAACAAACCAGATACCTGCTTTCAGCAGCAGAGACCTTGACCCAGAAAAAAAAAAAAGAAAAAAAGGAGCGGTTGGGAGCTTCAGTCACCCACCAGCCTGAAAACAGCCCTCAGCCCCTCACCCAGACTGGCCAGGCACCCCAGTGGGGACCCCCACCCTGAAGGGTGTGTGACCAGCTGCAAACAGCCATCATCCCCTCATCCAGGCTGGCCAGGCACCCCAGTGGGGACCCCCACCCTGAAGGGTGTGTGACCAGCTGCAAACAGCCATCATCCCCTCATCCAGGCTGGCCAGGCACCCCAGTGGGGACCCCCACCCTGAAGGGGGTGTGACCAGCTGCAAACAGCCATCATCCCCTCATCCAGGCTGGCCAGGCACCCCAGTGGGGACCCCCACCCTGAAGGGGGTGTGACCAGCTGCAAACAGCCATCATCCCCTCATCCAGGCTGGCCAGGCACCCCAGTGGGGACCCCCACCCTGAAGGGGGTGTGACCAGCTGCAAACAGCCATCATCCCCTCATCCAGGCTGGCCAGGCACCCCAGTGGGGACCCCCACCCTGAAGGGGGTGTGACCAGCTGCAAACAGCCATCATCCCCTCATCCAGGCTGGCCAGGCACCCCAGTGGGGACCCCCACCCTGAAGGGGGTGTGACCAGCTGCAAACAGCCATCATCCCCTCATCCAGGCTGGCCAGGCACCCCAGTGGGGACCCCCACCCTGAAGGGGGTGTGACCAGCTGCAAACAGCCATCATCCCCTCATCCAGGCTGGCCAGGCACCCCAGTGGGGACCCCCACCCTGAAGGGGGTGTGACCAGCTGCAAACAGCCATCATCCCCTCATCCAGGCTGGCCAGGCACCCCAGTGGGGACCCCCACCCTGAAGGGGGTGTGACCAGCTGCAAACAGCCATCATCCCCTCATCCAGGCTGGCCAGGCACCCCAGTGGGGACCCCCACCCTGAAGGGGGTGTGACCAGCTGCAAACAGCCATCATCCCCTCATCCAGGCTGGCCAGGCACCCCAGTGGGGACCCCCACCCTGAAGGGGGTGTGACCAGCTGCAAACAGCCATCATCCCCTCATCCAGGCTGGCCAGGCACCCCAGTGGGGACCCCCACCCTGAAGGGGGTGTGACCAGCTGCAAACAGCCATCATCCCCTCATCCAGGCTGGCCAGGCACCCCAGTGGGGACCCCCACCTGGCTGACTGGCCGGTAGCTATGATGCACAATGACCACTGGGGGCAGATGCTCAACGCAGGAGCTGCCGAGTGACAGCAACTTTGCAGAGTGCCCTCTCGCACTCCAGGACCCTTTGGGGGATTTCGGACTGCTGGTTTCGGCCCAATCCTCACAGGCCAGGCTGAGGGACCCCACCTGCTGGAAGGACCCTGCTCACTCCACAGATGCCCTTCGGGCCCTGGCACTACCCCAGGTGCGGCCGGCTGGCGAGGGACTGTGGGAAGTTGGCTCCAGGGCATGTCCGGCCCGTCTCGCCCAGTCCTGCCCCTCCAGCCACCTTCTTATTAATTTCCTTTCAATGTGCACAAATCCGTGCACCAGGCCTCTAGTATGTATATAAGTTCCCTGGTTAATCTCTCCCCACCCACCCCCTTCCCTCAGAGCACCCCCACCTTCCATCTGAAGTTGGTCAGTCTGTTCCATGCTTCTATGTCTCTGGATCTATTTTGTTCATTAGATTTCACATATGAGTGAGATCACGTGTTACTTACCTTTCTCTAACTGGCTTGTTTCACTTAGCATAATATGCTCCAGGTCCCTCCATGCGTCTTCAAATGGTAAGAGTTCCTTCTTCTATACAGCCGAGTAGTATTCCATTGTGTAAATGTACCACAGCTTTTTTATCTACTCATTTGCTGATGGGCACTTGGGTTGTTTCCAAATCTTAACTATTGTTAAGTTGTGCTGCTGCTATGAACAGGGGTGCATATATTTTTTTCTGATTGGTGTTTCAGATTTCTTAAACATTTTTGTTGGACAAATCTGTTTTTACATGGCAGTCAACAGAATTTGGGAGGATATCAACTGATGAGCTCACTATTTTACCATGGTAAATAACTTATTTTACAAAATCATTTCATCCCCTTTTTGTGAGATTTGTAGTAGGTCTCTCTCTCTCTCTTTCTCTTTCTCTCTGTGTTTGAGGATTATTTTTCTTTTTATAAAATAATTGGTTTAGTATATATTTATTCAATTTTAGAACAGATTCTGTATTTAATACTTTCCCTTAAATGGTTTTGATTATTAACATCAAAGGCAACTAATGGGTACCACTAAATGGGAGACGCTGGGGTTGCTGGAGTCCAGCATGGGCTGTAGGGGCTGTGAGAAGTGACCTCATGGAAGGAGGTGCAGAGTGCTGAGAGAGTGTGAGACATGGTTTTCAGTGCTCTTACCAGGGAACCAAGGTGATCTGGGCTTGAAGAATGATGGGAGTTTTAGCCATTCAAGATGGAGTGAGAGTTTTCATTCTTTTTAGATAAAGGTTTAAAAGTGAAGTTGCTGGGCTGCATAATAGTTCTGTGTTGTTGTTTTTTTAAATTTATTTTTATTGTTGAAAGTATTACTGGTGTCCCCTTTTTCCCCTATTGAACCCCTCCACCCCACTCCTGCCCCTCCAGGCTTTCACCTCCCTATTGTCTGTGTTCATTGGTTATGCATATAAACTCTTTGGTTAATCTCTTTCCTTCCCCCTTCCCCCTTCCCCCTGAGATTCTTCAGTCTGTTCCATGCTTCCTTATCTCTGGATCTATTGTTTCTCTCTCTCTCTCTCTTCTCCCCTCCCTTCCTTCCACTCTCTCTAAAAATCAGTGCAAAAAATACCCTTGGTTGAGGATTAACAAAAAAAATTTAAAAATTGATAGTTCTATTTTTAACTTTTTGAGGGGCCCCAATGTTGTTTTCCATAGTGGCTGTACCCTTTTACTGGTAAAGGCCTCAGTTTGTACACATAAGTGACCAGAAGAACAGTGGTTGATTTTTGTGTGTTGTCAGTTGTAGTGACACCTAATGCTTAAAAATAAATCACTGACTTATGTATTCTTTGGGGGCTTTTTAGCATCAAATAGATGCTGTGAGTCTACTAGAGAGGTATGTTTCTCTTGTTTACACTTTTATCCCCAAACTTTAAATCTTTCAGTTAAACAAATCACACACACAAACATAACACTTCATGAGTTAAGTAAGGGACTAGGAAGGTCTGCTGTGGGACTGGCAGCAGACAACAAAGAGGGCACTGCTGGAAGAAAGGAGCAGAAATGGCTGAGAAAGGTTGAACGATGGTGGGTAATGGTATGTTTCACCAATTCAAGTAGAGCATGTGGGTATAGGTATGAAAGGAAGTGCAAGTAAACTCAGTGGGACTGTGTCCTTGAAACATCAGGTTAAGTAAAGCAGGCAATTTATAAGTTCTACAGATGCCTTTGCTGTTCCATGCTGTGTACCCAGCATATAGCCCAGTGTCTGATACCATATGGATGCTGTATTTTCTGTGTGAATGAATGAGTGAATGAATGAGAAAAAGAGGATAAGCTGAGGTTTTTCTGGAGAGACCCTATCAGTGTGTTGGGAAGTTGATTTCTGATATGAAGGACAGGATATATTTAAATGGTTGATATTTGTGGCAGTCCAGATCTGAGGTCCCGTGGCTTAGGAAGGGCTCTAGCAATGGAGATAAAGTGAAAGGGGCCTTGTATACCAATGGAATGAGGAATGACAAAAGAAATCACCCGTGAAAACCTGTGAAAAAACTATCCATGCAGTCCTTCTGCAGATGTGGGACCTGCACGTGGGTCCTGAAAAGCTCGGGGCAGTGGGATCTGGAAATTGAGACTGATACCAAGTCGGCCTGTTGATTTTTAAGTGATGATGGTGGTGGTATGGCCTATATCTAAGGGAGAAGCAGCATAGATACATGATTCAGTAACAGTAGCTGGACACCAACAGATGGTGGTGGAAATTGTAAGAGCAGATGCTCATTTCAGAGGTTGAGTATAGAGAACAGACACATGGGACAGTAAGGAAGGGACATGCTGTAAACCATAATTTAGAAGACAGAAGATTCAAAACCGTTTCATGCAAACCCGAGAGGCTTATAAGGAGAAGAAATGACCTATAGTGTTGTAACACGTCACAGTTAAAGAAAACTGAATTTATTAGCTTTAATTTGGCCAAGAGAGAGCTGGAATGACCTAAGGAAAGTATATAGCTATCAAAGGATATAAAGCTGGATGTTAACCACTTAAAATAAAACAAATGAACCAAAGTAACTCTTCTGTCTGAGCAAAAGATTTATCAACGAATATATTGTAATTGTGTGGCCTCCTCATACTATTGAATATTTAAATACCAACTACTTTTAAAAAGTGTGACACATCTACTGGAAGCCATATATTTTTGAATTAATACAGTGCTTTATAAAAGACACTTCTGCAAACAGAAAAAAATATTAGGTTATAAATACATAATGGTGATAAGGCTAAGATACACAGAAGCAATTTCCTATCAAAATAATAAGCTTACCTAGGATACTTAAGTATGCCTGCTGTTCTTTATCAGGGGAATAACAGGTTTGCTGCACTCAGATATATTGATTCAACATAAATGAATGTGAAAAACAATATTTATGTATGTAAAGGAAAATTATTACAATCTATTGCCTCAAATTAATCTTGCAGTCTTTATATGTCTGTAACTTGAATTTATTTTGCTACTTGCATGCTTTACATAATATTTAATATTATTAAATTGGTCAAAATGTCAGTGATTCAGGAGCTAGTTGTTGAGTTTTAATATATGCAGAGTTTGGACAGGTAGTTCAGATAGTTTTCTTGGGCAGTTTGAGTTGGTGGCGCTTTTGCAGTAGGTAAAATGAGGTGAAAGTGGATGACAACTAATGTCACTCATTATAGTTACATTATTTTGGTGGGCCAAATAATAGCCAACATGGAGATTTAAAAAAAAAATGAATTCTGGATAAACAAATCTGTAATCACTTCTTTTGCTTTAGATGAGGTATTTATAATAAAAGTGCATGGCATTCATATGCGAAGGTGTCACATTTATGAATAAAATATTTTTTCAGATGCAATTTAGGACCAAGTAATAAGAACAGTAAATGGCCATTCATAAGTCTCCACTGACTCAATGAAAATGATATTAAAGCTAGTAGCTAGGTATATAAAATTTTCTTATATTACTTTTGAACAACACTGTGAAGCCACTCTTTATCTTATCCTCTGCATTGTATAATCTTGAAGGATTTCTAAAAGATTCTGTATTCAATTTTGGGTACATAAGAGACTGTCATTCAAGAAGCATCTTAAATTGAGGCCACCAGATGTTTCCCCCCACAGTAAATCAAAGAACAAGCATAATTTGAATATTTTGCATACATTTACATATTGATGTCAAGTGTCCCTAACTCCAATTATGTAAAATAAAATTAATTAGTGCAGCATACTGCAAAGTTCATATTTAAACCCAAAATTCAGGACAAGACAAACTGGAAATACCTAGCATATCTTAAAGCAAATTAGTTTGGTTTCTTCTGCGAGTAGGAGGGTTAGGCACATATACCTACCTACCTAGGTGCATCAAGGAGAACATAGATGTAGAGGTAGGTGCTCAAAATAGGGACTCAGATTCAACATCCATTTGTCCTGAGCTTCTGTGTTCTCCTTCCCAGTAAAAATTGCAGTTGCACATACTATAAACACATTGTTTCCATCTTCTGCTCCCTCCGGGATTGAATGGCACTCATTGTCCTTCGTTTTGGTTCTTTCTCTAGCTTCACGCAGCAGCAGATAAAAGAGCCAGTGCACCTGCCTGGTGTTAACACTACTGCATTTTCTTGACATGGCATCTTCACCACTGTGAGCTGCCTGGAGGGCCTAATCCTTCCCTTATCTTTTAGAAATCCTCCTAATCAGTGCTCAACATCAGTGTGGTCAAGGATAAACACCTTAGGTTTTGTAACCAAATAGAGCTTTTAAATTTCAAGTTTGCCTATGTGGCCTTGGTCAAGTTATTAGCTGCCCCAAGACTGGAGTTTCCAGTGCTTTCATAAAAAGACTAGATGTTTCCTTTCTTCCATTAGTTGTAAAGAATAAGTAAAATATCATTGCAAAGTGCCCCAAACATAGTATATATCCAAAATACATTTACTCCTCTTCTTCCTCTAAGACTCAATCCAGGTGTTAATCAAATAAGAAATCTCTCTGTGGATACACAGGGTCATCAGGCACCACCTGCCTTTACAACATCTCTTGCACTTACTCGCGTTTGTGTCCTGAAAGCAGGACGTACGGTAGGCCTCCATTCAGTGGCTGCTGGATGGAGGGTGGTAGCAATGACTAAAGGGAGGTGACATATAGCAAGATGTAGATGACTCACAATAGTGGAAATTTATGTGCAAGCAAGCATCTCATCTCCCTCTTCAATGTAATCTGGGTTTACTTCAGAGTAGCTGAAAGAATTGATATAATACAATTCATAAAAGAAAAAACAACTCCATTTACAGTAATTTCTGCCCCATGCTCTCTGGCTCACATCCATTATGGCAAGGACACACTCAGAAGATCAACTTGGGGCTGTCATTGGAAACAGATGTCTGTGAGTGTCCCATCACATTAACCAGAGGGAAAATCCTGGGAACATCTGAGTATTTCATCTGCATTGGTCAGCCGTGCTCTGGCAAGACTACCTTTAAGTGGAGGCAGCTTTAGGTGTATGAACATAGACCTCAAAAAATTTCCTACTAATGTGTGTACTCTTAGGGGGAAAGCTATTTCACTCCAATTCATCTAGACCAGTGGTCTCTAAGCTGGCATGCAAACTGTTTAAGAAGTACACAAGATGATCTATTGGGTCGAGAGAAAAAAAAATCAAGCTTTTATTCATATTGATTTTTATCACATTCTTTTAAAATTTCTGTTTGCATATGTTTATTATGTACAGTATAATGGAATGAGTGTGTGATCAATATATGAATGGGCATCCATTAGGCACTTGTTTTTTGAGTGATCAGGGTAAAGATGGTTTTAGGTCACTAACACAACTCTCTTTCCCCAGACTGCCGTCTTGTGCTCCCTCACCAGAGCTAACTCCAGCATGCTCAAAAGGAAACAGAGCTCCAGGGTGGAGGCCCAGCCAGTGACTGACTTTGGTCCTGATGAATCTTTGTCAGACAACGCTGACATACTCTGGATTAACAAGCCAGTAAGTTTCTTCTTTGAAGTATGGAGTAGCACATGCTGATTTAAAGGAAATTTGATTCATATATTCAAAGACCATGTACCCTTTGGCTTTGAAATGTGTGTTTGAGCTGCAGTTGACTGTGGATGAGTCTAGGAGTCTGGAAGTGAAGAACAAATGAGATGAAATAACGAGGTTCCTCTCTGAGTTACTCACATAGGAAGGTATGTGAGTACCTCTCCTCTCTTCCTCTGTGCGTGCTGTCCTGTCCTCACAGGCACCCAGTGTAGAGATAATACCACTTCGCAGGCTGATCCAAAGCTGACGTCCCACATGAGTGACCTCTTCTACCAAGCTTTCATTACTTACAGTTCTCAATGTGCATGAATCTGTGAGGAGATAATCAAATGTTTGGAATTAAAGGTCTCCTGAGTTGCAAGTTTTGAGTAAAAGTAAAGGTTAATTAGATAGTGCATAGTATCTCTGAATAACTTTGTCACCTTCTCGGTCTAATTAAGCTGGTGGGAACTTGAGGGGGAGATCTGTATCATTGTGTATTAGCCAGGCGAACAGCCAGAGCTAAGGTGGAATGGCATATCCATGGGTCTTGGAAACTGAGCTCTACAAGCCAGGATAGGATCAGCTTCATTATTTGTCAGAAATTATGCTGGGCTCAGAGGATGCAAAAATGGAAACAACACAGTTCTGATTCACTACGTTGCAGTCTGATATGCATAACATATATGTTACCTATATACAATACACATTTATACTTATATACAAATATAAAATAGGATAAGTGGAAGCTGAAGTAAGGAAGTAAACTGTTACTCTCTCAGTGCTTGCCTGTTCCTTGAAGATGATCAAGATCATCAGCCATGGTCTCCCTGACGTTTCTAGTCTTTCTTCATCTAACTCACCCTCCAGACCTCTTCCCCAGCCTCCTCACATTTCCACCCATGTTTTCATTTATGTTCATATAACCCATCTGCTTTATGATCATTGAAACATCATTATTATCCACATTGCAAATAAAATGCTTTAATTTATATTCAAGGCTCTGTATATTCTGTCTCTAACTTGTCCAGCAACTGCCCTTTCCTAGATCGATACCCTGTCCACTTGAGCCACATCAGTGACTTCCTGCAATCTCACAGTTTCCTGCCCAGAGGCCCTTTCCTTGCAACTCTGATGAGTCAAGTCCCCCTCATTCACAAAGGCCATCTCAGATGTCACCTGTGCCCCATCCACTCTGAAAAGTTCCTCATTTGACCTGCACCACAGACAGAATGAACCTCTTTCTTTTTCACTAATTTTATATTTGTACTGGTGGCCCGTTGCACGAAGATTTGCGCTATAGGCCTTCCTTCCTCTGGCTGCCGGCACCGGTTTTCCTCCGGCACCCAGGACCCAGGCCTTTGGTCTCCACTCCAGCTGCTCCTAGCCCCTCCTTTTCCCCCCCCAGCTCCTTGAGCGGAGCCCAGGGTGGACTGGAAGCCTGGGTTGCCCTTGGCGACCCAGGCCCCCCTGCGACCCAGGCCCCCAGCCCCTCCTCGAGCGGAGCCCAGGGCCGGTGGGAAGCTTGGCTTCCTCCGTCTCCGGGAGCAACCCAAGCTTCCTGCTCATTCCAGCTCCGTGGCTGCCGCCATCTTCAGTCTTCAGTCTTTGCTCCGCACCTACATATGCAAATCAACTGCCATCTTTGTTGGGTTAATTTGCATAGTCGCTCTGATTGACTGGTGGGTGTAGCGGAGTGGCGGAGTGATGGTTAATTTGCATGTTTCTCTTTTATTAGTGTAGATATAAGTATACATTTATATTGTATATAAATAAAATATATATGTTATGCACATCAGACTGCAAAGTAGTGATGAGTCAGAACCTTCTTATTTCCATTTATTGTCCTCTGCATAATTTCTGACACACAGTAAGTCTTCCATTCGTGTTGAAATAATTGAACAGAATAGAGAATAGAGTCCACCACATACAGAGCTTTCTGAGAACGTCTAACAAAGGTAGTATTATAGATGTGGCCTTGGAAACACTAACTAAAATAATTAATACTTAACTAGAATTCATACTTTAAATTTGAAACAGATTTGTTGTGGAGGAACCCTTCTTTTCGAGCTCTTTTGTGTAATTAGATCTTTTGTGTTGGAGCTAAATTCACACACTGATGTTTACTGAAGCAGTTCCAAATTGCATGAAAAGTACATCAATCAGCAGTGACTTATATGGTATGACATTAGTGGCATTACATCTTCATGCAAATATTATAACTGTCAGATTAATATTAAAACCCACTCACCAGCCTACAAGTGTCTGAATCTTTTCAAAGTTCTGACAGTCTTTTCTATTTTTTCATCTTGGGTGCTTGCCAGCTTGCATAGATGCAGGGCCTACCTACTACACAAAGCAGCTTTTGTTCAAGGGGAGTATAATATTAAAAGATTAACAAATAACATTTAAATTATATTGAAGAATTGTCTACTAATTAATTAAACAGTAATACCAACTGGGTTTGGGCATAAAGGTACAACCAATATGTTTTATCTTAGGTATTATTTTTACAATAAAATAGTGTATGTGAGTAATTGTATGTCCTACACACATGCACAGGTATACACACACATGCACAAACATACACATGCATACACACATTTATCTTAATTAATTAATTAATTAATTAAATTTATTGGGGTACAGGTTTCAAGTGTACAACTCAGTAAAACATCATCTGCACACTGTATTGCCCCAAGCAAACTCTCTGTTCCCATCCCCCTCTCTGCCTACCTCCACCTATCCTCACCCCACTTTCCCTCTGCCTATCACTACACTGTTCTCTGTGTTTATGTGTTATATACCTACCGCTTTTTGCTTAATCCCTTTACCTCCTTTGATCCAGTCTCCCAGCCCCCTCTCCTCTGACAGCTGTCAGTCTGTTCCCTGTATGCATACCTATGTTTCTATTTTGTTAGTTTATTTTGTTCATTAGATACTATATAAAAGCAAGATAATGTGGTGTTTGTCTTTCTCTGACTGACTTATTTCACTTAGCATAATAATCTCTAGGTCCATTCATGCTGTTGCAAAAGATAAGATTTCCTTTTTTAATGCTGCATAGTATTCCGTGGTGCAAATGTACCACAGCTGTTTTATCTGCTCATCTACTGATGGGCACTTGGGCTGTTTCCAGATATTGGTTATTGTAAATAGCACTGCGTGTACATAGGGGTACATATATTCTTTTGAATTGGTGTTTTGGGTTCCTTCAGATAAATTCCCAGAAGTGGGGTCACTGGGGAAAAACCAGTTCCATTCTTAATTTTTTGGGGAAACTCCATATGGTTTTCCACAGTGGCTGTACCAGTCTGCATTCCTACCAACAATGCATGAAGGTTCTTTTTTCTCCACATCCTCAACAGCACTTATTGTTTGTTAATTTATTGATGATAGCCATTCTGACAGGTGTGAGGTGACATATCATTATGGTTTTAATTTGCATCTCTCTGATGATTAGTGACATTGAGCATTTGTTCATGTCTATTGGCCATCTCTATGTTCCCTTTGGAGAAGTGTCTATTCAGGTCCTTTGCCGATTTTTAATTGGATTATTTGTCTTCCTGGTGTTGAGTTGTATAAGTACTTTAAATATTCTGGATATTAACCCCTTAGGAGATGTATTATTGGCAAATATGTTTTCCCATACAGTGGGTTCCCTTCTCATTTTATTGATAGTTTCTTTTGCTGTGCAGAAGCTTTTTAGTTTGATGTAGTCCAATTTGTTTGTTTTTTCCTTTGTTTCCCTTGCCCAAGGAGACATATCAGAACAAATATTGCTATGTGAAATGTCTGAGATGTTACTGCCTATGTTTTCTTCTAATATTTTTATGGTTTCCACACATTTATCTTTTTAATTCCTACTTCTCTATGTTGGGTTTAAGGAAAATCTTCACACAGCATATACACAGCTAGAATGAATTGCACAGAAACTTATTTTTTTTGGAATTTTGGAAAAGGTAACTTGGCTAAATTTGTATAATTTTCCTAAGTAAAGAGGAAGGTCCATTTATTATCTTTTGAAAATGTAGGCTGATATCAGATTTTAAAATATATTTTTAAGAATGTTACATCTAAGATCCATATGGAAAGAAAACCCTATACATGGGCAGAGTTATGCATAATTTCATTTTTAAAAAGCACTTGTGATTTGTGCTAGATACCAATAAACATAATATGGTCCCTATTCTATGTTTTAAACAGTAAAAAGTTTAAAAGTAACAGTACATCAAGTTTCCATATGAATAAGTTCCTAACATTTTAATTGAATCACAATCACCCTGTATTGAGGCCTGAGCAATGTCACATCTAGATTTTGGCTCTTATTAATGCATGACCACAGAGAGGTTTCTTAATCTTCCTGAGTCTTAGTGTATTGATGTGAAAATTAGGCTGATTTGAGAATTAAGTTATGTAAAACATGTGAAATATTTTATATGCACTTAACAGACGTTGGTTTCCTTTTTCATACTGGTGAAATATTTCAATCCCAATATTATGTTTTCCAAATGCTGTGGTTCATAATGCAAGTTTAAGATACCATTTTATGACGTCGAATAATAACTTTGGACTATTTTGCAGTGGGTTCACTCTTTGCTGCGCATCTGTGCCATCATCAGCGTCATCTCTGTCTGTATGAACACGCCCATGACGTTCGAACACTACCCTCCTCTTCAGTATGTGACCTTTACTCTGGATACTTTATTGATGTTTCTCTACACAGCAGAGATGATTGCCAAAATGCACATCCGGGGGATTGTCAAGGTGAGCCTTCCCCTGTTACTTAAGCTAAAAACCAAAATGCATTGGAAATCTAAATCAGTATATTAATTTCAGTAAAGCGAAACGTCTCTTTATTTCATCTGTATTGAAGTCTTTTTAAATAGGGTTTCACTCTATAGATTGATAAAAATATGATGCATAAGAATATTTAAAAAGTGAAATAAATTGTGTAAGGCACAAAGTCTTGGAATATCTGGGAAGGAGCTAGGTGGCCTTTCCACCAGCTCCGTGAAGGCCAGAGTAGGGTCTATAATGCCACCTATGAGTGACTGAGCCCAAACAAGGCACCTATTAATTTATGAATGCTGAATAATGTTATGTGATACATATTATAGACTAATAACATTCAGCATGACTTAATTAACTTGAAGTATTTTGAAGATATAAAGGGGTATAAAGAAAGGACTTGAAATGGAAAGGAATTCCAGGACTATAGAAAAATATGTAGCATGAAATCGTCACCAATGGGAAACAAAAAATAAGTAAATAAAAGAAAAAGCAAAGGAAGGGCCTAGCCGGTTGAGTATTGACCTATGAAACAGGAGATTATGGCTCAATTCCCGGTCGGGGTACTTGTCTGAGTTGCAGGTTCGATCCCCAGTACGGGGTATGCAGAAGGCAGCCAATCAATGATTCTTTCTCATCATTGATGTTTCTATCTCTCTCTTCCCCTGCCTTCCTCTCTGAAATCAATAAAAAAATATATTTTTAAAAAATAGAAAAGAAAAGAAATTTATTTCATGGGATATCTCTTCCTTCTGTAATGTTAACCTTCATAGAGGTTAAATAAGTGGATGGCACTGTCTCATATGTATTTCACACTGTACAATAGGATGCACCTGATAGAAGAGATGAAGGACAGGAGTGAGGTGGGAAGCTCATTTACAGATGCATTTATTAACCACCCCAGTGCCTCTGTCAAAGAGTTTGTTACTGCCTGACTTTCCTCCTTTTATTTTATTGTCATAGTGGGCTTTACAGAAATAAATGAAAAAGAGCCCTAAGTATTTTGGAGTTTGTATCAGTTTCCTAGTTTGTAGTAATTAATGACCACAACCTCGGTGGCTTGAAACAATAGAAATGTATTGTCTCACAGTTCTGGAGGCCACAGTTCAAAACAAGGTGTCAGTAGGCCTTGATCTCTCTGAAGGTTCTAGGAAATAGCCTTTCTTTGCCTCTTCCTAGCTTTTGGTGATTCCTGGTAATTCTTGGAATTCCTTAGCTTATCTATGCATCCTTCCAATCTCAACTCCTGTCTTCACATGGCCTTCTTTTTGTGTGCCTCTGTGGGCCTTCTCTTATTTTAAGGACACCAGTAATTGGATTTAGGGCCCCCACTAATCTAGTATGACCTCCTCTTAACTACTTACATCTTCAAAATACCTTATCCTATATAATAAAAGGCTAATATGCAAATCGACTGAATGGTGGAACGACCGGTCACTATGATGCACATTGACCACCAGGGGGCAGACGCTCCCACAGGGGGAGTGCCGCTCAGCCAGAAGCCCTGAGCCAGGCTCACAGCTGGTGAGCTCAGTGGCAGTGGCGGGAGCCTCTCCTGCTTCCACGGCAGTGCTAAGGATGTCCGACTGCTGGCTTAGGCCTGCTCCCCCACTATCAGTGGGACATCCCTCAAGGGCTCCCAGACTGTGAGAGGGCACAGGCTTGGCTGAGGGACCTACCCCCACCCCCTCCCAGAATGCACGAATTTCGTGCACCGGGCCTCTAGTCCTATATAATAAAGAGCTAATATGCTAATTAGACCGAACAGCAGAACAGCCATCCAGACGACCTTTCAGATGAAGCTGGGACTGCGAGGGCCAGCCGAGGCAGCCAGGGCTGCAAGGGCCAAGCCCCTTGCATGAATTTTGTGCATCAGGCCTCTAGTTTTTAAATAAGGTTGCATACTAATGTTTTGAATGGACATAGAGTTTAGGGGGACACTCTTCACCTCACTACTCAGTTAGTTTCAGCTAGCCATTTGAATGGCCAGCTGGTTGTAAGTAGCTTTGAAAAAGATTTTCTGAAGTTTGTTGGGTGACTCTAGAAAATTGGGGTAGTAATCCAAAAGAAAAAAATTCAGTTCAGTATAGGACTTAACTTGAAAGGAACCACCAAAGCCACAACAAACCTCATGCAATTACCAAGAAACCAGTAAACTCAGAGACTCCCCAAAAGGCAGTCATGAGCGCAATAAGCATAGGCCCCAGGAAATGCTGTGTGGCTATGAGTTGTGATACATAATCCACTGCAAACATGTTGATTCATGGGAACAGTAGGCATCCACCATGCCTCAATCAATGGATTTCAGCACAATTCCAACATTGTCTGGGTCTTCCACAAATGGTATGCTGGTTATTCTAAGCATTAGGTTTAGATATGGCCAAGTTTCAAAAATTGGTAGCTAAACCAGGACGTTAGCTTGGGGGGAAATTTGTTCTGGTGAGAGTGCTAGAGATATCTTTTAAGTGACTATAACTTTACTTTCCAGCATAGCCTAGCCTTATTTTGAATTCTTGGATTCCCCAGAGGACCTTGGATGACCTTGGCCTTGTGTGTATTGGTCACTCAGGCCGTGGCAGTCTCTGAATGTTCTGGGTGGGGCACTTTGGGATTGAAATACCATGTGTGGATTCACATGAGATTCTAACTTGAATGAACAAAGACATGACATTTTCCTAGAATAAAAGTCTGTTTCTTAAGTTATTTAATAAATTAAGACTTGGATTTCACATCATGAAAATGACAGTAGGCATTGCTTTAGTTGTCATAGTCAATGATAAAAGAGCAGAGGCAGACTTGATACATAAATTATATATTCATTCCAAGTGAACAGAACACTGAATGAGCAGAGGTTTTAATAGTTTAAATAATAGAAGCCAAAGCATTTGTTCAAAAGAAAAAACTTGGTTTATGACCAGGTTGTTTTCAAAGTGCTGTAAATGAGCCATTTTCAGTATTTTCTGGTGTTCATCAACATTTGGATGTTATTTACTAAAACTGAATTTTGATTTATTTTCAATCTGTAAGACTTAAAAATTAACGTTAGATATAATTTTTCTATTTTCCATTCTGGTATGATTGGATTAAATACAAAACTAATGCAGATTTTAACAAGATGGTATTGCTAACATTATCTTGAAATAACCAGCACAGCTTCATATCTCATTAAAACTGGTATTTAATGTTTAAATACTGGCTGAGATTTTGGTCAAATATGCTTCAATATGAGGTCCTGAACCAGCTTGAAATGTATTATCTTATTGAATTTTCACCATTGTGGCCTTCCCCCAAATGTTATAACTTTATTGATATCTTTTTTATACCACATACTTCTATTAACATGAATGTTAACACAGATGAAAGAGTACATTGACTTGAGATTACATGCTTGTATTTAAAAGTTAACTTACTTTCTCAAAAGTGGGGTTGCTGGATCATAAAGTAGTTCTATTTTTAATTTTTAGGAAGCTCCATATTCTTTTCCGTAGTGGCTGTACCAATTTACATTCTCACCAACAGCATTCAAGGGTACCTCTTTCTCTACATTCTTACCACGACTTAACATCTTTTGTTTAACAGGTGTGAGGTGGTATCTCATTTTGTTTTGTTTTTTTATTTGCCTGATGATTAGTGAAGTTGAGCATATACTTTTCATTTACTTGTTGGTCATTTGTATGTCTTCTTTTGAATAATCTATTTAGGTCTTTTGGCCTTTTTAAAAATTGGGTTATTTATTGATTGATATATTCATATTGAGTTATGTATGTATATCAAATTGTCAAGTTGCACATCTTAAATATATACAGTATTAGTTGTCAACTTACAGTAAAACTGAGAAAAAATGCCCTGACTGGTTTGGCTCAGTGGATAGAGCGTCAGCCTGCGGACTCAAGGGTCCCAGGTTCGATTCCGGTCAAGGGCATGTACCTTGGTTGCGGGCACATCCCCAGTTAGGGGGTGTGCAGGAGGCAGCTGATCAATGTTTCTCTCTCATCGATGTTTCTGGCTCTCTGTCCCTCTCCCTTCCTCTCTGTAAAAAAATCAATAAAATATATATATTTTAAAAAAAAAACTGAGAAAAAACTTACACTTTTAGTCAGATTTATTTTTAGCAAAAAATTCATTTGGCAAAGACAATTTAAATGCTATTGGCTTTGTATCTGTAAATTTGTTTTGGTTTTATAATTGCATGAGAAATAATGTACATGTGTAGATATTTAAGTTACTACACAATAAAATACATTGTCTCACATAGGGGCTCTTTTTTTTTAGTGGACCTCATTTTACCCAAGATTGAGTTACTGTGCTTTTATCAGTTAATCTTAGTCTAAGTTTTAAACCTTTATTTAACACCTGTCTACTAAAGAACATTTTTTGAGATATTTCTATGCTTTTCTACCTTCATTCAGTTGTCAGCAGCACTATTTTTTACTTCTCACTCAATTTTTTGCCTCTTTACCCAGAATGATTTGCAGATATGTACTGTGTTCACTTATATGACATATATATACTAGAGGCCCGGTGCACAAAAATTTGTGCACTCGGGGGGCGGGGGGGGGTCCCTCAGCCCGGCCTGTGCCCTCTCGCAGTCTGGGACCCCTTGGGAGATAATGACCTGCTGGCTTAGGCCTGCTCCC